AAAAAAAAAGGCTAGAACCAAACAACGTTCCTGCAATTCGCTTTGTAAGGGAATGACATTAAAAGTGTGTTTATCTCTGTAGGAGAGTAAACGGTTAGTCAATCATGTATTTGCTTTCATTTCAGAAAAACGTCTGATTTCCCTATGTGTTGGTTGCGGCAATCAAATTCACGATCAGTATATTCTGAGGGTTTCTCCGGATTTGGAATGGCATGCGGCGTGTTTGAAGTGTGCAGAGTGTAATCAGTATTTGGACGAGACCTGTACGTGCTTTGTTAGGGATGGCAAAACCTACTGTAAAAGAGATTATATCAGGTACGCCATTTACATTGTTTAATTGTTCGGTGAGATTTTATTTTTCTTTTCAACTTTATAAATTTGACAGAGGTATTAAAAGGAAAACTTGTGAGGAAGCGAGTAAAAAATAATTGGTATGTTTTTACATGTTTTCCCATTAATAGACTGATGAGGAAAAAAGTTAGTTGTGAAGTTTTTTTTTGTTTTTTTTTTTTTTTTTTTTTTTTTTTTTTTTTTTTTTTTTTATTTCATTGTTTCAAATGCAAATATCTGTATTAATAGAGCAAGGTTTGAGACCATGTAAGACCTTTCCAAGGACTTTGGCAATGCATCCTGTGATTCTGACCAAGTGGGTAATCGTAGGTAATGAAGAATAGTTTCAATAGTTTCAATATTATGGGCAACACAGAACAGATCACTTTCTAACACAACCTGAGAAATGCATTTCTCTGTGTTTCTGCAAAGGCATAGAGGCATTCGAAAGAAAGGCACTTCAAGCATGTATGCCGTAAAAATAAATACAGGGGTAGGGAAAAAAAAAAAGAAAAAGAAAACCCTACTTAAACTAGGCCCATCAAAAACAAAAAGCAAAAGGAAAACAAAAACAAACCCAAAATTTTCTTCAGATTGAAAGATCCTTTAATGGGGATGATAAAACTTACACCAAAATGTTTCTTAGCTAAAATAACTGACATTTAATCTTTTTTAAATATTAACCCCTTTGGTGATATCTGACTGCCTTTTCTTTCTTATCTTATCTGTACTGATGAATTAGACAGAGCAGATCAAATTGCCCATCATCTGTTCGCGAACAATTGGGTATATTTAGATAATGGAACCGCTTCCTTCCTCACATTAAAATCTGGTAACTGATAAATGTGAGAGTTGCCAATGCTGACACTATAGAGGAACCAAAGCAGGAATTTCGAGTGTGTTTATTATTTGTGCTCCTGGGTCATGCTGATCCGTTTCAGTGTCGCCTACTGGGTTTGCCAAATCATAAGTTTGTATGACACTGGGATATGAACGGTACTTTTTTTTTTTTTTTAATGGAAAGTTTTGGAAGCAAGTCACCTAGCCATCTAAGATATCTTCTGCTTTCTATGTAATTCTGAATTGAAATAAAACCCTTGAGTCTTTCCTTCTCCAGTGCACAATTTATAAGCAGACAATTCCTTCAAGCCATTGTGAGTTTATTCTCCAAGTTCTAAAATGGCTAAAACCAGAACTTTTTTTTTCCTTAAATTCTTTATTTTTAAATGAATTTTGGAGCCGGTTTTTTAAATGTTGTCCTTTCACCAATTTCAAATGAAAGGAAAATGTTTGGACTGAAATGTATTCACTTACCTCTGGACAGAACTCAGTGGGGAAAATTAAACAGAAAAAAAAATTGCAACTCTTTTAAGATAATGCAGAATACATTTAATTTGTTACAATTTAAAAAGGAAAGTGTACAGTACATGCAAGTTGACTTTGAATTAGACAGTGAGCCAATCTTTAGATGTCAAACCTGTGGGCAACCACCACAACTTTTGTACCTATGAATGCACCTACTTTACGATCACTCTGTTCTATTGCTGTTTAGCTGTGTGGTTTTTTTCCTCTCGAAACTGTGTGATTCGAGTACATGTAGCTCTGAATATAGGATTAGTGCATTTCTATAGCCATAGAAGCTAAAGAAGTGTAGTCAGAAGCATATATCACAGACTCTGTCTCTGAGGAAGTATACTGGTGAGGAAATTGATGGGAATAAATATTAGCTCAGTTTCAGATACAGCTTTCACAGTTCTCTGGATCCTGAGCGTGCATATGTGCATGTACCCATACATTTGTGGAAAGATGTTAATTTTACATCATGCCAAGGACTTCTGGCTAAGAAGCACTCAGTGGGAGCCCAGAGACTGTGCAATTCTAGACAGCCGAGTTGGAGCATTTTCTCATGTTTATCTACTGATGAGTGAACCGTCTACCTCTCCTGGGGAGACCAGGAGCCCGCCACCCGGTCCAGAAAAGCATTTTTTTGCTGTGTGGGGYTGTAGCGAGAAGTTGCCCTCTCATTTCTACCGGAGTGCTTGAGCCCCGGTTTAAAGTGCGAGTGTCAGGAGGAGGGGAGACGGGGCAGGAAGGCTGAGGTAAAGACAGGCTGCAGAGTCGGAGCACCGAATCTGCCTTTTATTTGGGGGTGGGAGAGAGGAGTTAAACTACTATATATGTGAGCCTGAGGAGGCATGTGTGCTATGCTTGTGTTGTCGACTTAAATTAACCTGGTGGGAAGGCACTAGGGGAAGAGACCCCGTGCTGGCAGTCACCTCTGCTGTGTCCCAGAGGCTAAGCTGACGGCAGTCGGGCACACATCAAGTCTTGAGTTTGTTCCTCTCAAAAAGTATCACAATTTGGTGAAGCAAAAGGAAGGTTTGTGTCTGGGGAGTGGATGGCAGCTTCGGCAGCCTCGCCTTTCCCTGGTGTGTCCAGATAGTCCAGTTCAGCCCCAGGCCAGGCTAAGTCAGGTGAGAAGGCAGGGAGAAGGCAGGGATCGCCCCACTGCTGGAGCTGAGGCGAGAGGGAGAGGTCKGATATCCTCGGCAAGAAAGGGACTGKTTTTTTTTTTTTTGTTTCTTCTTACACCCTTGCCTCCCAGCTCCCCTCTTCCACCKCTGTGTTCGTGTCCCCTACACCTTTCACGGCACGGGGATCAGGGCACCGACTACAAATGAATCCAGCTTATTCCTTTCCTATTCTGGCTCCTGTATTTCCCATGCTTTTTAAAGTAGTGGATTGCGTGTGGCGCGTCTACGCGGGGCCAGGGGCTGCCCACGAGCAGGAGTGAAAACCTCTTTCTTTTTCCCTTTCCTTTCTCCCCCCCGCCCCTTCCCTGCCCTCCCCCTTCCCCCTCCCGTGCTCTCCCTCCTTCCCTCCCTTCTCCTTCTTTCTGGGCTGGGCCCTGCTCAGGTTATACGGCATCAAGTGCGCCAAATGCAGCATCGGCTTCAGCAAGAATGACTTCGTGATGCGCGCCCGCGCCAAGGTGTACCACATCGAGTGTTTCCGCTGCGTGGCCTGCAGCCGCCAGCTCATCCCCGGCGATGAATTCGCGCTGCGGGAGGACGGTCTCTTCTGCCGGGCGGACCACGACGTGGTGGAGCGGGCCAGCCTGGGCGGCGGGGACCCCCTCAGCCCCCTTCATCCCGCCCGGCCGCTGCAGATGGCAGGTACCGCCCGCACCCAGCGCCGCGGAAACCCGCGGGGTTTGGCGATGCGCGGCCCCGCTSCGGGCGGCGGGGGATAGCCCCACCCTCTCAGAGGGTCTCTCGCCTCCGTGGAGAGCGGGGCCCGAGCGTGCGCGCCCGCGGACAGGCGGCGGCGGCGACTTGCCCCACGCTCGGGGCTGCTGTGGGTCCAGCTGACKCGAGAAACGCCCGCGTTGGCGGGACGCGTGAGGCGGAACACCTGCGGAGGGGCCGCGCCCCCGCCCGCCAGCCTGCCCTCCTCCTGCCCGCAACGCGCACCGGGTGCGGGAGTCCGCCGGCATCCTTCCCGAGGCCGGGCAGCCCTGAACCTGAGCCGGAAAGGGACGAGCCGCTGCGGAGAGCAGGTCTGCGGCAAAGCGCAGCCCCCCTCCGCTGTCTCAGGAGCGGGCGGAGAAGCTGTTCTGAGCGCTGGAGGAAGTGGGGTCTGAAAAGAGATAGACTTCATAACTACAGGCTGGCGCTTAGGCTGTAATTTAAAACTGTCAACAAGCTAATCTTCGGTAATTGCCTTTTAAAGTGACTCTTGCCTTCTTGAAACGTTTTGTGCGATTTGATGAGAATTTCATCCCAAAACTCAGCCCTGTAACTTCAAAGTCTCCCCACCTTACAACTTCATTCACACTTGCAGTTCTCGACGGGTGCGTCAGGTACTCAGAGACGCTTAGCTTTAGGAAGAGACACGTCCCTGAGTCTAACTAGGCTGGACAGTACAAGGTTGCCCGGCGTTATCGCTGTGCAAGTAACTGTAACTCGGAAGGTTATTTGTAAATACAGCTATTCTGAAACGGGCTCATTTCCCTCTTCGGAGCTGCTTTCAGGTGCTACAACCACATATAGGGAGAAATAATCCCGTAACTGATCAGGGCAGAATTCTAGAGAGATTGTGCTCGTTATATCGTGTTTGTGCATGTCTCCGAAAGGCTTAGTGTGTCGGCAGGTACAATACTGATAAGATTGGAAGCCTTCGTATTGTCGTCATCGCATTTGCAGATGCATTGTTTCAACTAGAAAAGTCGGAACACAACTGTACAAAAGCGAGCACTTCTGACTGTTAGCTAAACAGTTTGAGAAAACAAAAAGAAAAAAAAAAGAACAAAAAATAGTGTTTTTATTTTTCCCTCGACTGGGTCAGATTACACCTAATAGCTACAGCTGCACAACGCACAGAAGGATAGCAGAATCACAGGAACACTTTCAGGTCTTTTTGTGATGTCACCCCATAGTTTTGCATTTCTTGGCAGTTTGCACTAGTTGCTGGGCTTGCTCTCCTTTTTAAAGCATTAGATACATATTTCTAAATTATTAATCTAAAGACTAAGCAAATGTACTTAGCACATCCACTTTCTAAAATAAACCCCATCTCCCGTACTTTGAGATACTGGGTTCTCACAGGCTTCTCTTCCATGAGCATGGTGCAGAGGATTTGGCTTGTTTTGCTCTGGTTTGAAAACGTCAGACTACAGGGAGCCATTGCATGTTATCACGTCTCCTGGCTGAAACGAGCTACATTCACGGTACAAGAAGCAGACCCGAAATATGATTAATTTAAGAAGTATTCTTTCATTAATTTTCGGGCCAAAAGTCTGTTTTGGTTATTTGTCAGGAAACAAATACATAAAACCCTCCTGCTCCTTTCACAGCGCGCATACACCTTAGCTAACTTGCCCTCCCCTGTCAAGTTTCATACAGGTTCARGCTTCTGTCATTAGAGGTTTTAGGGGGTGGTTTGTTTTTGCAAATTAATTGTCTGTGGAGCCAGAAATGTCAGTCACTCCACCAGTGCATAAAGCAGAGGAGGCTGCAGCAGCTCCGATAGATCTGAGTGCTTGAATGGCCTTTGAAAGAGGGTTCATCACCCGCCCCCCCGCCCCTCCCGCCCGCCACCTCCCCCTGTCCCACCAGCTTAGATTCATAGTCTCTGCAGACTCCCTGCTTCCTACTCATGGGGATCCTGTTCCTCCCTTCCCCTTCCCTTACAGCAGAACCTATCTCTGCCAGACAGCCAGCTCTGCGACCCCACGTCCACAAGCAGCCCGAGAAGACCACCCGAGTCCGGACTGTCCTTAATGAAAAACAGCTTCACACCTTGAGGACCTGCTACGCTGCCAATCCCAGACCTGACGCCCTCATGAAAGAGCAACTGGTAGAAATGACTGGCCTCAGCCCGAGGGTCATCAGGGTTTGGTTTCAAAACAAGCGCTGCAAGGACAAAAAGAGGAGCATTATGATGAAGCAACTTCAGCAGCAGCAACCCAATGACAAAACTGTAAGTGGCTTCAGCCTCTGTCCGTGTGCTGCCTTAATTCCCAGGGAGAAAAGCCTGGGGTATGTCCGGCCCGGACAGCCCCAGGGCTCGGTTTGACGCTGTTGACTTTTTGCGATCTCCCTTAAAACAAAGAAAACGATACCGCTTAGCTATTGCCCGTCAGTTTCTGCTGCCAGTGCAATCGAAACCGACCACAGCGAGGAGCCGATTTAGTCTGCTCAAGCGAACTCAGAATTTGTGGGGCTAAGGATACGCTGTAGCTTAGACTAACTTCTCTGCAGCATGAATGAGACCTGCAGAACTTATGGGATGTAATAAACCCAGTCTCATCAAATAGTTGTATTGCAAATGCAAAGTACTCCTTAAGGGGAAAATGATGCTTTTGCCTTCTTCCATGTTTTTAGACAGGAGTAAATCCAGAAGTAAAAGAAAAAGTTAAAATAAAATAAGAGGTGTTTTTCTTAGCACTTTATATACTAGAATGTGTGTGTGTTTGACAGTGCACTTACTGTAKAAAAAGACAAATGCAATGCAAATTTTTCGGATTTACCATCGTGTTTACAGGTTAATTTATATATAGTTTTATCTATGTAGAACTCTTGTCTGCGGATATATGCACCGGTGGTGTAAATAAGCAGAATGCACTGGGTTCAGCAGAACAAATTGTCTCCATGTTAAGCCAAATTTGTTTCTTCCCTTTTTTTGTCGTTTGTTTTCTTTTTGTTATTGTAAGTCCACTTGAAGAAGAGTCTGTTACTCTCCCTGTGTATATTGACTGACCTGAGAATGACGATTAATTCATAAGGCTGCCTAGTTAAGTGGAATTTAAGGAGTTTCATTTTACCCTGTTGGAATGCAATAAAACACGGTGTTATTAACTCGCCTGAACAATCTATTCGTCGAGGCTTGGCGTTATATTGTACACCGTGCCTGCACTACAGGGCATTCTGGAGGGCTGAGGCTTTAAAGCATATTTTAATTTTTTTAATGTATTTTCCTTTTTTTTTTCCAAAAGGAGCAGGTTCAGGTTCAGCCTATTT